AAACCAGACTTATCAAAGGCAGTTGGAAGATTGGGAAACCCTCTCACCAAAGTCCCTGCCCCAGGTACAGTGCCTTATAATCAGAAAGAGACTTCCTAGCTCCCTTCTTCACTCATGGTATGAAAGAGGTTGATAAGTTTATCCAATGACCTCAATTTTTCTGAGGGGCCTTCCCAGAGGATTAGCTTCTGTCTCACCAATCTTGAAACTTTGATAAGCCCAGCATAGTCTAGATATTTGTGGGAAAATAGAGATGGAGGCTTGGGCTGGTAGACACCATAGATCCTTACCCTACTCAGTGAAGAGAAAGCAATTAAGAAATTAAAGTTCACAGCTTACCCCAGGAAGGAAAGAGTTGATCTGTTCATCCAGAACACTGAATTTTCCAGAGCTATCCAAAATAGTTTTTCCATCCTTGAAGCGCTAATGGATCCACCACAGTGTAGTTACCTGGGGTTGAAAAAAGAGATGGTGGCTTGGTCTGATCGACACTATGGATACTTCCTTGCTCAGCACAGAATGCGTACGTGTATAAAATCCCCAGCTCTCAGTTTACCCCAGGGAGGGAAAAGTTGAACCATGCATATAACACTCAACTTCTCCAGGGATGCCCAAGAACTGGCATGTGACTTGCCAGTCCTGGAGCTCTGATGGGTATGGAATAGTCTAACCACCTGGGGAAGAACTCAGATGGTGGTTTGATGCCACAGCTCCCTCGCCCCCGGCTTAGCACAAAGCAAACAGAAAAAATCCACAACTGCATGCTTATCCCTGGAGAGGAAATCAGAATCTCAAGCAAGGCTGACTGGTGGGAGTCTTTACCGATATAAGTCCAGTTTGTGAAGAATGGGAGAGGTGCCCGCTTTGTTCAATGCACAGGTAATTCTTGTAGGTGATTGTGCTTAAATTATCAGCTTAAATAGACTGTTACAACAATAAGATATTTTATGAAAGCCTCAAGGTAATTACACAAAAATACCTCTAGAAGTTACACAAAAGAAAAAGAGGAATCAAAGTATACCAGTTCAAAAAAGAAACAAAACACAAGGAAAATATAAAGAGGAAAATGCAGTCAAAAGAAATACAAAGCTAACAAAACACAACTATCCAATTGCAATAGTAAATTTTTCCCTATCAATACTTACTTTAAATGTAAATAGATTAAACTATCCGATCAAAAGAGAGACAGTGACTGAATAAATACATTTTTAAAAAGACTCAACTATATGCTGTCTACAGAAACTCACTTTAGAGGTCAAGACACACATAGGTTGAGTGAAAGGATAGAAAATGATATTTCTTACAAATGGTAAACTAAAGAGAGCAGGTTACATCAACAAAATAGATTTTAAGTTAAAAACTGTCACATGAAACAAAGAATAATATCTTATAATGATAAAAAGGTCAATCTAACAGGAAGATATAAAAATATAGCCTTATGTACGCAACATCAGGAGCACCTACAGATATAAAGCAAACACTGGAAAACTGAAGGAGAAATAAAAAGCAGTAAAATAATAATAGTAAATTTCAATATCCCACTCTCAAAAAAGAGATAACTTCTAGACAGAAAGTCAAAAAGGAAATAGAAGATTTGAATAAAATTTTAATTCAAATAGATCTAACAGATATAGGACATTCCACCCAACAACAGAATATATATACTTCTGGAGTACACAGGAATCTTTGTCAGGGACCAATCATGGTTTAGGTCACTAAACAAGTCTTAACAAATTTAAGAAGATTGAACTCATATCAAGTATCTTTTTTTAAAATCACAATTGAATAAAACTAAAATATCAAGGCAGAAGCAAAACTGGAAAATTCACAAATATGTGGAAATTAAAGCAAATATTCTGGAACAACCATGGTGTTAAATAAGAAATCAAAAGAGAAACTAGAAAACTCCACAAGACAAAATAAAATAAAAAAACAACACACCAAACCAGGAAAACGGAAAGGCTTTTGGAATGCAGCAAAAGCAATACTACTGAAGCATCCATCTTATATAAAAACTGCTGTTTGAAATTTTAACCCTGATAGTATGGCTTCTGTAAATGCTTGTTTGCTTAAATAATAGGGAAAACAAGACTACTCTCATTCGAGAGAGGCCGTAAACTATGCCCCAGACAGTTGTCAGTGCTGACACCAGGCCAGGCCTTGAGATATGGTCTCATGGCCCCTTCCCAGCACATAGGCCTTCTTTCTCAGAAGGCCCGGAAGTCTCATTCCAAATTTGGGAGACAAAGGACTAGAAAAAGTATAAATAGAGAAGTTTCCTCCATGTTGGGGGGCCCAGAATTTGAAAGACACATTTTTCTCTGGGCCTGCACAGAATTTAATAATAAAATGTAACTCCCTTTCTCTAAGCATGGCTTGGTTTTTCTCCGGTCTTCTGCAACACTACGAGGAAAATTCAGAAGCAATATATGGCTACATTAAAAAACAGAAAGCCAAACAAAAAAACCTAGCTTACACTTCAAGAGGATGGAAAATGAAGAACAAACTAAACCCAAAGTTAGCAGTGTAGAAAATAGCAGAGCAGACATGATTTTTTTTTAAAGAAAAACAAAACTAAGCGCTGTTATATTTTCAGTTTTGTTGGGGTTGTTTGTTTGTTTGTTTGTTGAAAATAAATTGACAGACCTTTATCTGGACTAAGAAAAAAAAAGAGAAGACTCAAATATATAAAGTCAGAAATTAAAAAGGAAACTTTACAACTGATACCAACAAATTTAAAAGGATCAAAAGAAACTACTATGAACAATTATATGCTAACATCCTGGATTATCTAGAAAATGGATATTCCTAAAAACATACACCCTACCAAGACTAAAAGTCATGAACAAACAGAAAGTCTGAACAGACCAATGACTAGTACAGAAATTGAATCATTAATCAAAAATCTCCCAACAAATAACACCAGGAAGAGATGGTTTCAATTGTAAATTCTATTAAAGCATTCATTTAAAGGGGAAATAAACACCAATCCTTCTCTTTGATATTGAGATAAGATATGTAGAACCACCTAGCACAGTGAATTACACATGAAGTGGAAATAATAAATGTTAGTTTTACACATTCATCCAATAGTATTTGTTGAATACCCACAATCGCTCACAGGATATTCAGTAAGTATGAATTGAATTGGATTAGGGTGCATTTAATAGTTCCTGGATGTTTTTTGAAGACCTAAGGATAATGTGCTCATAGAAATATCTTTAGAATATATAGAGCAAATGAACAGTTGAGTCACTAAAATATTTCAGATGCCAAAACAATTCTTAATGCTAGAAGTCTGAATTTTCCATTTCAGTTTCCTGCATTATAGAATGGTAATGCCTAGTGATCAACAGAATAGGCTCTGAAATCAGACCTCATGAAATCAAGCCCCTATCCTTTTCTTACCTAGCTCTTTGAAATTAGACCATTTACTTCAGAGTTCTCAACTGTGGGACAGGAGTACTAACAGAACTTTGCTTTGAGAATTAAAAATAGCAATTCATGTCAAACCTGGCACATTGTAAGCATCCAATAATTGTTAACTGTTTTTGTTTTTATTGCATAAACTTAGTTAGCCTCCTCTTAGTTATACACAGAGTAAGAAACTATAAAGTATGATTTAACTTCCTAAAATATATTTTCGTTTAACTCATAATTTTTTGCCTGTAATCTCCTTTGGTGAAGTCTTAGAACATTGTTCTTATTGTAGTATTCACTTTTTTTTTTCCTTTTTGGAAGTAATTATAGTTCTCCATTTTTTTTTAAATTTACAAAGGTTTCCAAACCTTCTGATAAAATTTGTAGCCTACTTAATCAGAAACAGAGGAAGAAAAGCTCAATTATTGAACAGGTTGAGAGACAACTATGTAAAGAAACAGTCTCTAGCAATGGGGATGAAATACTATAATAGACAACCAGCGTGTCTTCTTTCATTTTTTGACCTTTAATTGAAAGATTGAAGATAAGTAGTTCCTGGGAGAAAGCAAGAGGCAGATTCACTTGCCCTGTAGCTAAAGTATAAAAGCTTCCTGGAAGCCTTACTATATATTATGAATCACTCTCTTGTCACTCTAATAAGTTCATAGCTAAGTGAAATGCTGGAAATGGATTGATGGTGCTATGGCAGACACCAGGGCTAAAGAAAGAGGTAAGAGGCCTCCAGATAATACATCTGGGCCTCCCCTAAGGCATTTTTTGGTAAACCTGATGTTTCTGACCTGAGACTTTCCTGTTTCACTGTATCAGAAAATATTGCTCTTTAAAAATTCCTACTATTTCAAAAAAATTTCAATCTGTAAAGTTACAAAAAGCGAAGTGGAATTTATTGTCCTTTCAACATTCCCTGGGCCTTTGGGATTATAGTAGTCCCCTTTGCTCACAGGGGATATGTTCCAAGACTCCACTGGATGCCTAAAACCAAAACCTGTATATGCTACTTTGTTTCCTATACATATATACCTACAATAAAGTTTAACATATAAATTAGGCATAGTAAGAGATTAACAACAATAACTAATAATAAAATAGGACAATTCTAACAATATACTGTAATAAAAGTTACGTGAATGGCTTTGGACCATTATTAAGTAAAATAAAGGTTACTTGAACACAAGCACTGCAATACCATGACAGTCGATTTGGAAACAGAGAAGGCTACTGAGTGACTAAGGCATTGGTAGTGTCTAAACATGGATAAGCAGGACAACAGGATGATTAACGTCCTGGGCAGAAAGGAGGGGACAGCACGAGATTTCATCAAACTACTCAGAACTTAAACCATACGGTTTTAATTTAAATTTAAGTTGTACAATTTTAAACGTATGGCTTATTTCTGGAATTTGTTATTTAATGTTTTTGGACCATGGTTGACCACAGGTAACTGAAACTGCAGAAAGTGAAACTGCAGTTAAGGTGGTACTAAGGTAAGGTGTATACAAAGTCCTAAAGTACTAATAGTGTTTATTGAAGAAGTCATTGAAAATCCCATAACAGCCCAGCCAGTGTGGGTCAGTGGTTGAGCATCAACCCGTGAACCAGGGGTCACAGGTTGATTCCAAGGTCCAGGCATATGCCTGGGTTGCAAACTCGATTCCCAGTAGGGAGAGTACAGGGGCAGCTGATCAATGATTCCTTCTCATCACTGACGTTTCTATCTCTCTCTTCCTTCTCCTTTCCTCTTTCTGAAATCAATAAATACATATAAAAATGTTTTAAAAGAAAAATCCCATAAAATTAAACCCTGGACAAGAAGCTGCTGAAAAAAAGTAAAAAGTTGGATTCAAGCCAATGTCTGACAATTTAACAATCCATACAATCACATGTATTTTTCCATTACTTTTCCTCTAATTCAATCAACTACATATTCATTTTTGCCTTTACTAACTATAATTTGGCCATAATTGTTATTAATCCTTTATAGATTTTAATGCTTTCACCACTAGATCCATCTAAACACGGAGTGGTTATCAGCTACTTCCTCATGCAGATTAAGGGATCATTTGTTTTCTCCCTCAAATTTCCACTCAACATACTGAACTCATACACCATACAAAGCATTATGATAAACACTTTTATCATACAGCATAATACAGATACCAAAGAGTGAATCTAGTTAATTGAAGATGATTGAAGATTTCTTCAAAATATATAATAAAACAGTAGCTTAAATTTAGTAATGTATGGAAGTACAAAAAAATTCAATAATTTCTATGTTAAGGATAGTTCAATTATGGTTGGGAGATCTAGAAAGCTTCTTGGATCTTATATACAAGGAGAGAAAGGGAGAGGAGAAAAAGGAGGGAGAGGATAGAGGAGAGGAGAGGAGAGGAGAGGAGAGGAGGAATGGATTTAAATTCTAGGTCTGGGAAACTCAAAATGACATTGTATAGAGGGAAGAATGTGAAATGTCATTTGTGGAAGACTGAGTAGCTCTATATGCCTTAAAGGTAGAATATGAAAACTGAAAAAGTAGGCAATACAGTTAAATAACTGAGTGGGGACTGATCATGTCTTAGTTAATATTAAACAAACTATTCAAAAATTAATTAAGCCACAGAAGAGAGGCCAATTATAACAAAAAGAAATGTCTGGTTTTGTTATCAGATAATCTTAGAGTCACATAATGAATCAGATTCCAACTAATTGCATGATGTGGTACAAGTTACTTAATCTATCTGTACCCCAGTTATCTCATTTGTAAAATGAATACCATACCTAATTTTCAGGGTTGTCTAAAGTTTACAAGTAATATATATATAAAATATTTTTCATTATGTTTGAAATATCTACACATAT